GATGCTTTTCCAAAAAAAAAAAAAAAACATAAGTGAAAAAAGGAAAACAAAATATTTCCATAAAACTTTCTTTTTTTATTTATGAAATTTTTTTATTTCTTTGAAAAAATTTTTTATTTTCATTTATTTTTATTACATTGCGAAAGAATTTATGTTTTATTAAGACTATGTGTTGTGCATTGTATTTTATACATAAGATGATGATGAAAGGATCTTTAATTATAAATTCCTTATGGGTAAATGTAATTCCAAAAGACAGAAAATGGAAGTAAATTTTAAGGTGTGTCTGTACATATACATATATAGTGGAGAAGAGTAAAACAGTTCTTGTACGTAGACATTTGATTTTGGAAATGTTAAACAAATGCATGTAACAAAGAAAGTTTTTATTTCCTATAGTATTTTCTATAGGAGTACATTCATTAAGTTGGTAACATAATAGTATGTAATTTACAAGGTATTCTCAAATATTGTCTCATTTAAAATTTGTGATATAATTTGGCTCTATTCGGAAATTAGAGTAAATTGAAAATTATATTTGTAAAGGTAATATTTTATAGGTTCTTTAGAATATTAAGATTAAGATGGCAAGACTAATTAAATTGTGATTAGAATTAACAATTTAATTGTTTATTATATAGGTTTTTATAACGCAATACTCGGAACAAATTAAGAGCTAAATATACGGTGAAAATTTAAAAACTTGCTACTCTAGATTAAAGAAGGCTCTGTATGCTAAGCACTATTCATATGAATGTATTAAAATTTAAATGAAATCAAAAAAATGTCAAATCTATTGAACATTTGAAATTTTGTCAAAATATCTGAGACACCTTTTACTATACTCTTACATGTATGCTGATTGAAATTTAATATTTTAATCCTTTTTATTACTCTCTTGTTTTATAATTCAGTTCATATGTACTATACACTGAATCAAAAAACCATATTGTACAACATATTTTTACACATATACGGTATTTATAAAAGGTTTTTGTGGAAGAAAAGGTATGTTCATCTGGAATGTTTATATGATATTAAAAATTAAATTGATAATTAAAAGAGAAAGTGTATATCTTTTATTCATTCTCCTTGTATTATAATATTATAATTTGAAGTGTTATTTGAAATAATTATAAAATAAATGAAGTATATATTCAATTTAACCATTATATGAAGGTTTATTTTCGAGTATGGAGAAATTCAAAATTTCTTATTCGCGGTTATATTGAATAACTATCATAATCATTAATAAAATATTTTCATCATAGTGTGGTTTTTCTTATACTTCATTAATCATACTATATATGCATATTTAATAATTTCCTCAAAATATAATACACAATTCCAATTCAATAACATTTTAATTGAGCGTATAAGAGTCAGTATAACATAAATATTATATATATGTATATAGGTATATAATATTGTCATTGTCATAAAATATTTTATTACATTTATATTGATTTTAAATATTTATTATATTGGAATCTGCTGAATTGTAAATATAAAAAAATTTCGTGTTGTATAGTTGAATTTTATTGTGGAAACTGAAGTGTTATAAATTTTAAAAATTTTATATTAGTACATAAATATGTAGTTATTTTGTAGAAATATATGTAAATATAATCAAGTTGAAAATCAAAATTCATCTTATAAAATATCTCGCAATTATTTATGGGCTATATAGTTGACAAAATAATATTTATAATATAAGAGTTGGGGTGCCTTGTATATGGAGTTATACTGCATACGTTTTAAGATTAGTTGCAATAATTTGAAAGAAGTCCCAAAAGCATTTGAATTTTTTTTTAAATTTTTCATATGTAATACACACTGACTAATTGTAAGATTCCAATTCAATATTTGAAGAAAATAATTATTTTAGTAGTACTATTAGAACAGTTTAGGTAACTGAAATTTTACAAAGTTAGCGATATGCCAATTAGTAATAATTTCAAAAATTATTAAACTATAACACAAAAATTTTAAATATTTGGAAAAAGTTTTTAATATTTTAACTTGTAGAATGTTTCTTAAATTACTTCTAGAACAATTCAAGCCTATATAATGTAAAATTGAATTCCGACAAAATGCATGTTGATTTACAAGACAATTCGTATTGGTTTAGGTAGGCTGATCAAATACAGATGTGTTCGTGTTGAGTGTCGAAAATAGTGCTCAAATAAATTTTTTTTGCATGATCTGTAAAATAGGATGAAAAATATTGATTTCATCAAAACTATTTTGTATCCTATATATTTTCTTTACTAAAATGCAAAAAAAAAAATTAATTAAAAAATTTTTGTTTACTTGTTGAGTAAGAAACTTTTAACATCAGAGATCAAGATCAGCCTTAGGATTACCAAAGAAAAAATTTTCAATTTTTTTTTGAGTTTGTGAAAGTCTAAGTGCAACAATTCCGTAAATTTGTAATAATTTAAACTTCATTAAAATTTTTTTTGTTTGCTTTCTAAAAAACAAAGTTTATCTACATAATATTTTAAGAATTTATTTTTTGGATTTTCAGAAAAATCAGAAAATTAGTTTTATATACTTTTTAATAAAATAAAAAGATTTCCAACTGTGCATAAAATATTCTTAAAAAAATTCCTAAAAAAATTTTTATTTTTTCTTTCATTTTTTTTTATTTTCAAAATATTTTTAATTTTTTCCTAGGAAGTTTTTGCTTCATATGTGTGTGTAATTTATTTCAAAAAAGGAAAAGAAACCAAAAATATGTGCTACATGAACTTTGAAATGCTTTGCAAAGAAGCACATTTCTATTGAACTTTCTCATACAAGCAAGGGGGGGGGGGATATAACATTAATCGTGAGTAAAGCGATTTTATACGACTCGAATATTTAATATTCGTGTCGTATAATTGTAAATTTTATGCGCAATCCATTTTCCACTGGAGGAAGAAGGAATTTTCATACATTTTCCAAATTTTAAAAGTATTAGGTGGGTCTCGATACCAATAATTGGATATTGATGACTTATATGAGCTTTTATAGCAGCAAAAATAAATGGAAAAATAATTCCTAGAAAAGTAAACTTTTCATAATTCAGCTTTCTATCTTAAAAATTTTAGAAATTTTATAAACAGATGATCGTACGCACTGATGGAAAGCTAGATAATAAACATACTAATGAGCACATTATTTTTTTCCAATTTCATTAGAAATGTGCTAAAAATGAAAACGTGAAGAACGAATTTTCAAAATAATTTCATATACATATAGTGTATGCATGTATACTAAAAGTTAAAAAAGTATACAATAGAATATTTAAAAAAAAAATAAGAAAAGTGGCTATTGTTCAAATTGTAATTTTAAATTAAAAAGCAAAATACAATCCACATAAACTAATCTTGTATGTATGTTATTTGTGAAACAAACAAAAACTGAGAAATACTGAAACTTTTTATTTGTTTTTTTTTTCCATTTTGAGGTTTTTAACTTAAAAGACACCTTGCCATCTTACTTCTCTTATAACATGAAAACATTACAAATTTTTCTAGAAAAACTCGTATAAAAGGAAAAACTTTTGTATTTTATTTCTTCCTTGTAAATAAAAGTTTTATATTCGTAATTTTTGACACTATTCTCTAATCATTATTCTAACAAAATGACTACACAATAATATTAAAGGAAAACTTTGTTTTCTAGTTGGAAGAGATGAAGTTTATTGCGTTAGATGTAAAAGCTCAGAGAACTATTTTGAAAAATAAGAAACACAAAATAATAAAATTTAGTTTATATGGTGTGTTTTACAAGAGTGAATTGGAAATTTCAAATGTTAAAATCAAAAGTTGACAAAATTTTTTGATTACTAAAAAAATTACTTAAAAAATGCATTATAAAAATTTTTTTTTTTTCAATTGATTAAAAAAAAAAATAATATAAAAAGCATATGGCATTATTGTTGCGTGGAAAAAGTGATGAAGTAATGATAAAATATTGTGGTGTAAACTGTCATAATAATAATGTCATCACAGTTTCAAAATTATTTTACAGAAATCAGATTTGATCCCACTTCTGTTCGGATTTATATGGAATTATCTATTTAATGAGATTATGAGTTTGCAAATTTGAATTTTGAATAGAAAAATTTTGCTAAATATGAGATTAAAAAATTTCCCAAACAGTTAACTATGGTATATAAATGAAAGTAATCAATTAGAATTATTCAAAACTCAATAATCATTTAGATTGATTTAAGCGGATTAAATGTTTTAAAAAAATTTATATGGGATTCATCAATTTTTTTAATATTTTTAAAACTTTTGCTTATACAATAAATTTGGAATGAAATTTTTTTTTAATATTTTAATTTATTTTAATAATGTTGTAATGGTTTGCAGTAATTTTATAGATTATTGGTGAAAAATTAGATTTTATTTATTTTAACCATATTAAAGTAATTGTTTCTGAGTATCTTTGAGTGTAGGAATGGCATACTGTAGCAGAACATTCATTTTTTAATTTATTAATTCCCTAATCTGTTTATTCATTCTATGTTATTCATTTAGTCAATTTCGACATTTTTCACGGAAGAAATTTTGAACTTTTATTCTGATAATGTTCTAATTCAAATTTTCTATTTTCAGGAAAAAATTACTTTTCCAGTCATTTACCAATATCCGATATGACAGAAGTTTTGAAGGAATTTCAGTTTACGGTGGCAATAAATTAATTCCTTCCAAAATTAAAACTTTTCGGGTCACAACTTTTAGTCTTTTTAGATCCTTTAAAATATTTAGTAAAGAAATTTGATCACATTCTATTTATTCGGAAAATTTTACCCGCAAAACTAAAATTATAAAAAAAAATATCGATGACAAAAACTAGCATAAATATGTTTGTTAAGAGTATTATCAGAAAGGTCAGCATTATCAGTAAAGGCAGAATAAAACTAAAAATATAGTTAAAATTTTTAATAATCATTTTAGGTTTGTTTTAGGCTACTTTAATGAAAAAAAATATTTTGAACTTACCAACTACTTGAAGATAAACTTTTGCACTAACTTTTGGTTCTGTTGACACTTGACATTCATATATACCAGCATCACGAGCTTGAACATATTTTATTTGTAATGTCCAACTATTATCTGACTGTTGTAATGCTAAAAATCTTTGATCTGCAATGAATACCGCCCTAAAACAAAGAAGAAAATTTAAAAATACTATATAAATATGTATGTATGTGAGTATGTTAGTCAATTGAAATGTAAATATTTTTGTATATATATTAAGTTTATAGCTTTGGTTTTGTTCTTATTTTATAATGCTATTATGTAATATATAAAATTTAATATTTACAGCGATAATATTAACAATAGTATATAAGCATTTAAATGGATAAACTAGGTACTTATAATATAAATAAGAAAATTTTGTTCTTTTCAATCTTTACCTACCCTAATTTTCTTGTAGATTAAAATATATACATACAAATATTATATTATTGTTATTATCATAAAGGGAATGTTATTTATAACAGTTATTTAAATTACACAAGAACAAAAAAAAAATTTTTATTTTATTTTTTTTCTTCTATAGTTTCCCCATATATGATATGAGTGGAATAGAGAAAATTTTAAGTTGTCCTTTTTACCGATAACATTACATACAATAAAGGAGGATATGTATGGAATCAAAAATCGGATGTATACCATGTGTAGGGCGAAGTGTTAATAAATTGCTTTTCGGTGTCGATCTGTTTGTGTGTATACGCGTTTATCTCCAGTTCGGCTGAACCAATTGTGATTTCATGTATGAGTTTGCCTATGTTATCGCTTAATTTTTGAAAACTTTTTAGAAGAATAGGATCTATTAATTCGGGAAGTGGATTTTTTGCCGGCTGGTTTTACTTTTTTGCGCATATAAAGAGAAATAATCAACAAATTTCTTTGAAATTTAATATTTAAATTCGGAGTATTAAAATAATGAACCTACAATTTTTTTTCGAAAGGATTAGGGCTCGGAAACCAGGCTGGAATCGATTAATTCGTGAAGTTTAAAATTTGAGTTATAGTTTTATCGAACCTAACAGACGAACGTTTCAGGGAGTTCGAATAGCACAAAGGGAAACTCTACTATGAGCCATAATTTACGTTTTTCTAGGTGTTGCGTGAAAGCCTAAAAACTTTCTTAAAATTGAAAGGAAATGTGCGAAATGGGTTTTCTTCATCTTCTGCAAAACTTTCGCTAAATTTGACAAAATACATTACGGTCGATTATGTGCTGATCACATCAAATTTTGTTCTCTTTTTTTTTTAGTATATTATGTAGTAAATATAGTTTAATGCATGTAAATGTGTGTACATATCCTGAGGATAGAATTTTACACCAAATTCTATTCTATTAACATCCGATATACTTATAATGTTATGGCTTAAAAAAAAAATAATTTTTTTAAGACAAATAAAATGTGGATTTGTTGGTTTTTTTTATTTTTTTATTATATCCTTTTTCATTAAATATATATACACACTTAACTATATTAAAAATAATATAACACAAAAAAAAATAGATAAAATATACAATATAGTACAAGAAAAAAAATAAAAGAAAATTTAAACAAATAAAAGGATAATAAAAAGAGGATTATAACGTAATTTTTTCGATATCTGTGTACTTTTGAAAAAGCAAAGTTATTCCCATAAAAAGAAAAAGTTGTATATAGTTTTAAGTTAAATTTTATAGAAAAGAGAAGAGATAAAATGTGCCCAATAGTGACCACATATATTTTATAATTTGTACTTTCTGGCCAAAAAAATAAAAATACAAAAAAATAAGAAACAAAAATCTAAAAAATTCAGAAAGTTTAGAGATCATTAAAAATGGTACTAAAGATTAGTACACAACGGAGACTTAACAAATGAATTGTGTGGGAAAAGGTTCTTTTCTTTTCTTTTTGTTTTTCTTTTTTTATTTATTTTGTAATTCTGGGAATAATTATGTTAAGTTTTTTCGGTTGACTTCAATGATATTTTAATATAACACAAAAATAACAAAAAATAAAAAAATAAAAAAAAGGGGATAAAAATGTAAATTGTAAAGTTCTCGGAAATTATTTTGTAATGACTTATATGACGAAGGTCTATGTTATTATTAAAAATGCCTCCATTAAATATTTTAAATTTAAAATATTTTCACTTGACTTATTATTATATTTTAGTAATTTATTAAAAATAAAAATTTTGATTTATTTATACAGAAACCATAGTACACAAACTTATTACAGTAAGTAATAAGTATGATTGGAGAGATTTGATTGAGCCTGTAGTAAAGATGCTGCTCCGGAGAAATAAGCAAACTAAACTCCAATATAAATTTTTATGAAGAGCCGTTTATCCGAAATTGAGATACAGATCTGCACAGACTGACTGACATACAGATAAACAGATAGACGGACGCTTCCTTACCATGGAGAAGTACATTTATAAATAACCTCCCTCATTGTAGTACCAATCTACTAACTATTATTACTTTTATTAATATAACAAAATATATAAAATTATTGCATACAATCAGGATGAGGAAAAAAAAAATTTAAAGAAGCGGTAGGCAATAATGGTTGAATTTGGCTGTTAAATAAGCGATTAATATAAACATTTTCAGAAGTGCAAGGTTCTAATTTTACAAATTTCAAGAGGGGATGACTTAGAGGGTCATAGAGTTGGAAAAATATTTACTATTTGCTAAAAAATACTAGTATAATTAATAATTTTTTGATCATAAGTTATCAATATGGTTAATTAAGATTTACAAGCTTTCAAAATATAAATGATTTTTCGTTCAGAATTTGACACCCATTTTAAATCCTCAAAACGACAGTACACATGGTAAGGTACTTGTTAATACTTAATTACTCTACATATGATTTTTAATTTAAATTTAAACTAAAGCTTTTTCACACCTTGCGCAGCTTTCTGAAAGCCTCTATTGAATATTTATATTCTTGCATCTGCAAGAACATTTTCTTTTATTTTCAAGTGAAAAACAGCAGTTTTCAAAGGAAATTACCCATAGTTTATTTTAAATGGAACAAAATAATAATTTTCTAAGCACCAGAAATTCATATTATTGCTCTTAACAATTAATTTGTGTTATTTTCTTTACCAATTATATACAAAAAGAAGAGACAGAAGGATTCGTACAGAAATTTTTTTTTATTACTCGTATTTTAACGGCAAACAATTTTTTATTTTTATTTTATTTTTGTTTTTTTGTGAATTTAAATTATTCTAATGACATTTAAAGTGTTTTTTATATAAAATATAACCTTAAACTTTTTTATATATTATTTTTATTTTACACTTTGACATTTCTTTAGTTTATTTCTTTTAAGTGCCATATTAAATCTCTTTCAAAATTTTTATGTACTCATGACAAACAAATAAACAAGAAAAAATAAACAGAAATTAGTCTTTTTTCAAAAAAAAATTTGAAAAATGAAAAATGAAATGTTTTTGTGTTTAACACACACATAATATGTTAATAAATAAACAGGCAAGATTGTTATGTGTTTGTGACTTGTGAGTATGTTTTTAGAAAAAAAAATTGTTTCGAATTCAAAAAAAGACAATAATAAGAATATCATAAACAACGAAACCGGTTTTCTAACATAATGTCCTTGATATTATGCATACATACATACATTTGCTTGTGGGTGTTTGTGTATCAGAAAAAAATTTAGAAAATAAAGAAAAAACAAAAAAGCATGAATAAAATGTTAAAATTAATTTTAAAAATTTTCTTTATTTATTTTTTTAGTAAGAACAAGTGGAGGAGAGAAAAATTAAAAAGTTTAACAAAAAACGCATATTTGTTTTTTATATCTTGTTTATTCCAATTTGTTCTACAAGTCTTAGACTGGTTGTTTTTTAAAAAGCAAAAATCTATAATAGTAACAAAAAATTAAACTATGTATATGTAGTGAAATTTAGTTTGTTCAATAAAAAGGAAATCAATCTTAACTTCAATAAAAAGGGAACGAAGGGAAGGATCTTAAATATTTTTGGAATTAACGTATGCAGAACACGTCATGATCTTTTGTGCTATACAATAAACCTAATCAATGCCATTCAATGCAAGTAAAATTAGGGAATTTAGGGTTCCCCCAATTTCAATTAGGGGAATGGAATTAAATTTTATGCGTTAAATTAATAATAAGGTGAAACGAGAAGAGTCATTGTATTAAAAATTTTATTTTTAAATAATTGATAAATTCCAAAAATATTTGGAGAATAATTTATTAGGGTTATTGCACTATGCTTAATTAATTTTCACCTCTTATTGAGTGCAAAACTGAGACAAGTTTTTATCATTATTAAAATGTACATATTTTTTATAGTTTTGTTACACACCCTTTAAGTCAACCATCAAAAACTGCATAAGCCATCCGGCCTAAAAAAATTTGTTTTCTTGCACCGACTCTTCAACTAAACGAAATTTTTTATAATTAATTCCCATTTAATTGAATCAAAAATTGTGCATTTTGCCTTGTGCATGTAGTTGGGAAAAACTCTACGAAAAACGGTAGTTCATTTAAATAAATTAAATTCGTAAATTTTCGAAGTTGAAATTTCGGTAAAGATTTTAATTTATCATATAATTCACTAAATCATTTCTCATTTACAATAAAAGGTTTTCTCTATAATACTTATACAGTACACAACACATATAAATTTTTTTAATATTTTTTATATATTACCACTATATGAATATGTAAATATGATATAATATAGTTATAAACAATTTAAGATTAAAGTAACTAATACAGCCACAAAACATTTATTTAAACAATGTTGTTAAATTTACTTTCTTGAATTTCATTAATATTAAATGAAACTGAGAGCAAAATAAATGTTTGTGGATTTATATTGTGTTTAAGAGTAAAAAAAAAACTTAGCATAAACATAGCACTATATAAATAGTATAGTGAAATATAAAGAAAATACAGGGTGTTGCACCAAATTTAATGTGATATTTTTAACACACTTTTAACAATATTCAACAAAAGTCTATTCACCTGTCCATCTGTGAACAAAATTTGTATATCACCTCTATTTTAGAAGTTGAGTTTTAGTTCGGCGAAGCTTGGGAAAAATCAGGAAAATTTAGTTTACAGTTTTCTCTTTTACATAATTT